GCTTTTAGTCTCATCGTTCTCCAATCGACGTTGCTGGTATGGTAGAACCTTCAGGAACATTTGTTCCAGCCAATATAGCTCGTTTGGGTCATCACGATAGGCAAGCCCGACCACCACTTCAAGGTAGCAGCTTCAGTCGGAACAATAAATAGATAGATGAACAAGAATAGTATCTAATAAACGATACACTTCTGTTAAATGAACATCAGTTATAACGTAACATGAAACTACAAGAATCAGAACTCATTTTTACTAGAAGCAATATCAGATAACATCTTAAAACACTGAGTTGCACGATGCTTGGAACTCTAACAAGAGTACCATCATGGATGAAGCAAAAGGTTTGAGTCCTATACAGCAATCTTTCATACCATAGGCTTAAAAGTAGTTGGAGTATTTTAACGGTAAATTATTCAATCCATTTTCACTGCATTCAATTAAATGTTCATTTATCGTTCGAAATGATTAATTTTCGCGGCAGATATTGATTCCTTGCTTTGAAATTTTTAACGAATTATTTAAAAGTCATTATTAGTAACAAGCCTGAAAGACTATCTAATTGCTTTATACATAATAACAAACAGATAATAATCTCAGATGTTTTAGTCCAAATATGAATCAGTAGCCATAAGAAAATGCTTTTACTCTGTTGTAATAAGATCACCTCAATTAACTATATGTAATCCCAGTACTAATAATGATATGAAAATATTAGAGATATGTGTATAAACATACTGCTGAAAGGAATGCACACTGTAAATCTACTTAGTGTGTATAAGGAACAAAGGAATAGACAAAAAAAAGTAGCTGTTTCTCTGGATACTACACACATGTTAGTCATATCCTATATAATAGTCATGCAATGGTTAAGTAATTAAAAACTGCTCAACTTTCGACAACAAGATCTACAGATTGAACGTCAACCTCGACAATTTACGACGAGGCGATCAAATAATAACACTAATCTTTTTATACACAGAAATTTACTGAAACGAAAGTGTATAACGTTGTGTTTGGTCAATGAATCGTATTGGATTATCAAATTTATGTTTAATAAACACACTGAAATTGACTTAACATATATATATATATATATATATATATATATATATATATATATATATATATACATCAAAAAACGATACTTACACTTAGTCGAAGATGGCGTACTATATATCCATCATGTCTTTCCAAAGATAACACACTAACACTTATATTTCCAAATGTTTTGCTGGTACCGGGTAATGATATAGATTGATAAAAATTGATGCCACGATCATTTGATGATTTTCTACTATTTTGATTATCAGTCATGATATTATTAACTTTATTAGTAGTAGTAGTAGTAGTAGTAGTAGTAGTAGTAGTAGCAGTGGTAGTAGAAGTAGCAGTAGCAGCAGTAACAGTAGTATGTATTGCATTACTACTAGAATTGTCTGTTATTGAAGATTGATCATCTACACTTGCTATACCACTATCATGTAAACGTTTTGATGTGGTTACTCCACTACAAGATAATCCTCCAGTTGATGTAGTAGTAATAACAGAACTAGTTGAAATAGGTGAACTAATATTAGTTGTATCAATATCAGATTGTTCATTTGAATGTTCATAATGATATGATAATGTTGAAGATTGTGAGAAGAATGAGGATGACATCATTGGTAATAATGGATTACTTGGAACACTTGTAATCTGTGTATTATTATTATTATTGTTATTATTATTATTATTACTGTTATTATTATTATTATTATTATTGATTATAGCATCAGAATCAGATGAGCATGGATCAGTTTTAAATAATGGACTTGTAGTAAATGATTGATTTTCCACAAATGATAATACATCCTCTTCACCAGAAGAATCAGGTAAATACAATTCACATTTAACCTATAATAAAATAAAAATTAAAAAATGAATTATTCTTTACAAATTTCCAATGTAAATTATATTTAATTAAATATGTGTTATATCACAAGGGAATACAGAAAGTATTCTCTGTAAATGGGAATAAAATTCATTGTGCACAATCAATCACTATTAAGTAGGATGGTCAATTTTATGTTTGTGCAGTCCATTTATTGTTCAGTGAATTTTACTGATCTAATAGGAATACGTTCACTAGTTTCAATAGTTTGGAATGTAGGCGGAATAAGATTTCCTATAGACTACTTCTGATCACAACAAATTAAATAAATTGCTTATACTTCATGATTATTTTTGTGATTAACAGTTGGATTAGCTTACCTATTTGTATTCTCACTGAAGTCCGAATCTAAGAACTACAAACATACTTGTAAATGTAACACAATCAAGGAGTTACGATAACCGTTTCCTTTGATTTAAAGGAAAAAAGTAACAGGTCCTCGCGTTATATTAGGGCCCATGTGGTCAGGCTATCATTTATGAAAGCAGTTGTATTATTCAGTTCGACTATTAATTAATTCTACTAGATTGACTATACCGGATTAAAAACCTATTGTTAACCAATAACGCAATGACCTTTTTTAACCAATAATGCACGAACAGTGAGATAATGACGACGATTAATACTTGCTACAGAGTTCTACTGCCCACGTTCTTCTCTCTAATTACCAAAACAGAATAAAAACAGAGTTGGTAGACAAACTTCTATCGTACAGTTTAATTTTCAAATCAAAATGCGTTTGATGATATCGATACATGACCTGATCGTATCTCAGTATAAATAAAGAATCACGATGTAAACATGACTACAACATCAATGAAAGAGAGGTTGACAAGAGGCCTGTGGTGAATTAACAATAACATAAGGAAGGTATTGTATAGAACAATAGTTTATGCATCCAACGAAAACTTACAAATGCAAGAAAATATAAATGTCCAAATGTCTACTAATTATTCAATAATAATTTAAGCAATTATTCTAAGTAAGTAAACTTCAAAAGAAAAAGTCACCTCGCTGTAACACACTTATACGGCGAAAGAATTGTATTACAATTGTTACTTGTTTCCAACTGTTGATATGAGTGTATAGAGAAAAAATAAGATGAATATTTACCCACATGTTTTGCTCACAACTTTTGTAATTTTTAATTACAATTAACAATCATCTTTTAAAACTTCTATTTTTTTTTAGAAAAAAAAAGACAATTAAAATGCAAAACGTTCATTAATCAACCATATACATCAATGTATGTGTACACGGATGTAGTAGACAAGTGGACTATGGATAAACATTAATTCTGAAAATAAACAAGAGATAAGAAAGTATATAACCACAAACAGGTTCCTGAAAGTCTATGATGAGTTGTTAATCGCAAGACAATACCAATCACATCATTTGAAGAGATTCAGTTGTATTCCTTGACCTTAAAGCGCATTCGACTGTCGATCTTGAGGTTCTGTGAGTGTTTGTTTGTCATTGAAAGCTGTACCAAAGAAGTACATTAACCTCTTACAACCTCTATACTCGAACACCACTGGCCGAATGAGGACCTATGGTGAACTGTCATCGGAACATATTACTTCAAATAGTGTCCGTCAAGGCTGTCCACTTTCTCCATTCTTGTTTAACTTTGTCATAGACATGCTTCCAGAGTTAACATTAACTTCGTTTGAATTTTCAGGAATGGACCTTCTACCAGGAGACTCGCTTGCTGACCTAGAATATGCCGACAATATAGTTCTCCTTGGTGAAGACGCCGACAAAATGCAGAGTATATTAACCACCCTAAGCAACAATGCAAGCATAATCGGGATGCGATTCTCCCTATCGAAATGCAGAATGTTGCTTCAGGATTGGCTTATATCGGCACCTGAACTAGCAATGGGCAGTGAAGCATATGAGCGTGTTAACTGCTTCGCTTATCTTGGGAATCTCACCAGTGCTGATGGCCTGGTGTGTGACAAAATTTCAGCACGGATATGGAGGGCTACATTGGCTTATAATAACTTGCGGTACTTGTGACGCAGACAAGATATCCGTCAGCTAACCAAAGGACAAGTTCACTGTACAGCAGTTCACTCCGTCCTACTTTATGAGTGTGACACATGGCCAGTAAGAGTAGAGGATATTCGTAGGCTATTGATACTTGATCAGCGGTGTCTACGATGCGTTGCTCGTATATCCTAGGACAACCGAGTAAACAATGCTATCGTTAGGAAATGAGTACTAGGTAGTGATGGTAAGTGAATAGATGACGTATCGAAGCTTCATCACCTGAGATGGTCGGGACATGTGTTACGAATGCCCAATCACCGACTGCCTCGACGAGCTATGTTTTGTGGTGTAGGAGTAGGTTACAAGAAAGCTAGGGGTGGCCAAATTTATGTCACTGAATTAAACTTCTTGAATAATACCTTCGATCCCTATTCTTCTCCATTACCGCTAATACTTCTACTACCTGTACTAAAAGGGGATTTGAACTGATAATTGCGTCTCAGTGCTAATGTGGCATGGCAACCTGAACTGATGTACATATGTACTTACGAAGTTCTACGTTGTTGTTGACTGATTGGATCTATGAGTGGTTCTATTTTCTGAAATATAATCAACTGAGATTATAAAATCCATTCTATTAACATATTAAGAGTTCTATTCTTACATAAAATAATATTCAATTTGAAGTGAAATGAATGAATGTGTACTTGTTTACCCAGCAATGTTTATGATTAGTTTGGCTAGCCTCTTTTCACAATAGAACTCGATATATTTCGAGAAAATCCGATTGAGTTTTCATTTTTTTTAAAAAAAAAAAATTTATAAAGAAAAGGTATTTATTTGTTGCATGACAAAAGTCAACATCAATACTATGATATATGTATGCTGTTGTATATGTGTGATCAAGCACAAGACAACCATCAGCAAAACACATCAGCTGTCTATAACTGAAAATGCACACACAAACAAATTGTGTTTGGTAGTAAGTACCATACCATATACAAAACAAACATTGGACATAATATTGGATAAATTGAAATGCAATCACAAAATGTTGTTTTTAAAAAAAAATGCATAAACGTAATCTACCGTAGCCACATGCATACATACATACATACAAATAAACATATATATATATACACACACACACAAACAACAATAACAACTAGAATTGTGTAGGTGGATAAAAATGCAAACACACAGATTATGGATAAAGTATAATCACCTAGATTTAATTTTCATTGAAGCAGAAAAAGTGAATGAAACATGCATACATACAAACATATACATACACAAACAGATGTGTTTATATGATGGTAGTCGTGTGTAGGTGGAGTGTGGCACTTAGGATTGTGAAATATTTTTTTTTTTTAAAAATAACAGTAAGTAATTAGTTTATTGCTACCATATCAAACAAATAGAGAGAGAGACTTGATCAACTTAGTTGACTAACGGAATTTTCACTTAACGCTACGTTGTCAGGTTCAATGGACAGATAAAATAAAAATATACAATAAGTATGAGACGTAATAATATTACTACACTGATACTGATTCATTTGAATTATTTTATACACGTTGATCAATGTTCTAATACTTTATAGGATAATCCGGTTGGTATTCAATTGTTGTTGTTATTCAATTCTACCAATGTTTAACACTGTTTAAAGACTAGCAGTTTACACATGTGATATACAAAAATGTACTAATTTAAAACAATCGACAGTTCTGAGAACGTAAAATATATTATAAATATACGAATGAAATAGCTTACTTCTTTATTTTCAACTAATTTGGTAATCATAACAATCGCTGGTGCACGAGAATACCATACCATACGCCAGAAATCATTTATTGTATGTGGCATTACACCTTGAGTAGCGATAAATGCATTCGGACGACTTTTGTAACCCTGTTTCAATTTGATTCGTATTCGTATAATCAGCATAATATGGTTTTTATATTTTTGAAAAAAAAAACAAACAAAACAATATTTACATGACAATTATCAATAATATTAAGCATTACAAAGTATTTAATTGTTATTTTGGGACACAGTTTTGGAGGTTTGCGATTTTTTACACATTTGAAATCATCAGTCAATCAATCATTGTTAGACCACCATTAGAAACCTGGAAGCACTGGACAGCTGTTTCGTCCTGGTATGGGTCCCGGGTTCGAATCCTGCGAGGAGCAGGAGTCGTGGATGCGCACTGCTGATGAGTCCCATATCAGGACGAAACGGCCGTCCAGTGCTTCCAGGTTTCTAATGGTGGTCTAACAATGATTGATTGATTGATGATTTCAAATTTAATTGTGAGTCAATAATTAAAATTTTTATTAAGTTTATAAATAAAAATTTCTTAGCCGGTTGAAACGAATTAACAAGAGAGTAGACAAGAATAATCTAAGTAATAATACAACTACTTACAATAAATTTCACTTGTAACACAAACATAATCATCACACATTAACGTTACAGATCAAGTGAATGACATTGTGTTTTGCAAATAACCGCATTGAAAATGATTATGATGATCAGTCACATTCGCACTGTACGCATTGAAGATACTACGCGATCAATCAAAACGAAATAGGTGGAGCAGGATTCGAACCTACAATTTGGTGTTCAGAAATTAAGCACCCACTGCTCCCACTAAACCACAGATTAACAACCAGGACCGGACTCAGGACTCGCTGCGAGTATTTAAATTCTAAACCACTGAGGTGATAAAGAAAGAACCTGTTTAGTAGTATGAAATAATAAAATACATTAGTCTGTTAGCCTATTCTTTTAGAAAGTGCATTAACCCAGTCTGTGGTTGGTAGTTATTTGTAGAAAAAAAAAGAATGAGAAATTATATATATCTTAAAACAAGATAAACACCTTTAAACTTACTCGAATATAATTTGCATTTATATAACTGGAAGTTATATCATTATTGACTACAGGTAATATAACACGTGTTGAAAAGTCTAAAAAGAACACAAAGTAAAAGAGATAAATAAGGTTAGAGAAAACTAAGAACTATGCAAACGATCAACAATAAACACAGTAAAAACCTATTAAAATCCAGAAATAATTTCTGCAAAATCGATTGGTACCACTTCAAGAATCAATTGAACATTGGATCAACAATGAATAGATGTTCCCTCTTAGCTTAACTAGTTTGATACTCTCCAACAGTGTGAATTAACGACTTTGATAAATCGTCGAAATCAGGAAGATTTCATTTTCATCGGAATTACGGCTCTGTTGAACAAATGAGTTAACATCCAAAATCCTAAAATTTTCAATTACAATTCATTTGTGACTTACAGTAATAATCAGTAAAACACATTAATGATAAGTGAAATCAGTAATTCTGTATGGAGATGAGTTGATTAACAGATTAAATATCGTATTCATTGTATTAATTATAATCTAAGAAAGGATCAGCCTCTGAACTTGATCATTTTGAAACATGTGTATGATTCCCTCTTGTAAAACCAACTAAATTGATACACCGGTATCTTGTGTACTGATCAACACGAGATGTTCACTTATATAAATCATCAAGGTGTAAAACAGTATTATCATTCCATAAAAAAATATACGAAAAGTTCGACATGATTTAAAATGTGTAGAATTTAGCAGCTGAACTTAGAATGGATTAGTTAATTCAGTCAGTTTTATAATACCAGGAAGTCGAAACTATCGATATTTTCCGAACAGACAGACAGATACAACGCAGAACTTCGTTCGTAAGTACATCAGCAGTTCAGGTTGCCATGCCCCATCAGCAGAGAGACGCAAAAAAAAGTAAACAGAAAACTACAAAAAAAAATTATTTCCGTACAGATGAAGAAAAACAAACAAAACAATGTTTCATAAGCTGTTGTTACTAATTGCATTACAAAAACGTAGTTCGAAGTAGTTGTATATTTTGAGACAATTGCAGACATGTAAAACAGGTAATGTGGTGGTAACAGATTACATGTTCACTGATTAAACTTTACGTCAAATGTTTGTTTATTTAAGCGCATAAACATTGGTACAAAGGGGTACTTCAATATTTATGCGCCACGCATTGGTTAAGATACAATCTGGATGCCCAAACCGAAGCAGGGAGTTTTCTTACGTGGCCACTCACTGAAAATAAGTGAAATACTTTACGAATGAAATTCATCCTACGAATTAGTGAATAAACAGTTTGTATTTGTAATTTATCATAACTTGATTTTCGATGACTCTATGAGCTTAAATTACTTAAGGAGACAACACAAGGTTAACTTTTCTAAATGTCATCCTTTAGATAACAGATCAGACAAGCACTGTACTCTACAAGCCTCCTGTAATTTGAATAGATAGTCAAATATTATCAGGTTTTCAATGTAATACATGTTTTTTCATACAAATCAGTAGAGTAGTATTGAGTTATACAATAAATTTGTTAACAGCCTTCTTAGTTTATCAGTTTTCTAAATGGAATTTCTTTTATAGACATAATGCGAATAGACAGATTAGATTATCATAAATTTAAAAGTAAGGGCAATTTTGACCCCTACCCCTTGCCTTCAGGAAAAGAAAGAATGAATTATTTACCCATGTAAGTTAAAACTATATACATATATACGCTAAAATATTAGGTGATTTAGTCAAAAAAAAAAACAAAAATAAAATTGATAAAATCAAAGAAAAAAAAAGAAAGAAACAACTACTAAAACGGTAAAACAAGATGGATGGAATTCGGTCATGAGTGGGTGGGTGTATGATGTAATACGGGTGGGTGTGGAGGTAGGCATTCATACGTTTATAAAAAGGTCAGTATGAACTAGAAATCATATATATATATTCCATACACACATACGTGCATATCATATATAAATAATGTGTGTGTGTGTGACACATAAACTACCATCATATCATTACATTCCTTCTTTTTTTTTTTTCTCCTGAAATTCTCTCAAACACTTGTGCAACAACAACAACAACAACAACAATTTTATTTTGTCTGCAATGCAAACACATTCAATCATTCTAAAACAGACTGTTAAAAATGAAAAGTACGTGTGTGTGTGTGTGTGTGTGTGTGAGGGAGAGAGTGTGTATCTCAGTGAAAATGAGTGGGTGGAAAAAAAATATATATATATATAAATTAAATTGTAAACTAAAATAGAAACATAGCTTTCTCTTGTCTCATCATTATCATACGTAAACATGTTCATCTATGTATACACACAGATAGATATATATGTATAAATGCATGAACGGGAATACACAGACTTATCCGGAATAGAACAGTACAGTTAAAATCAGTAGTTATATTGAATAGCAATTGTTAATGTATTTATTTTATGTGTGGTAGTAAGATGATGATGATGATAATAGTTATCGAGATTGATAACAAGAAAATAAAAGAGAGAAAAGAAAAAATAAAGATAGAAAGGAGTAATAATAAAAACAGAGAGACAATAAATAAATAAATGAAAAAATGGAAAAATGCAACACAACCTATTTTCTTTTTGCAATTTTTATAGATTAACATGATAAAAGCAAAAAAAAAAGCAAATAAAATATTTTATTTGAATACTCAGTATGGGAAAAATAAACACTGAAAAAATAAAATGCACAAATACATTTTAATAACCAATCATAATCAACGCCAAGCAACTGCTCAGTAGAAATGTGTGTTACTCCAGATAACTAGAACATATCAGTACAACGAGATGAAATTGATGAGATGATTCACAATTAACTGGAAGTAATGCAGTTACAGAGATAACGAGTAAAACTAAACATTGAGTATATGGTTTATATAGAAAGTGGTTGGAAAGTAGGTACGTCTAAAGGAATGCTATAACTCAAGATTTGATGAAAGATAATGTGAATGAACCTAAACTATCATAGTTTCGATTTTGAATTATATTACCCAGTGATTCCATCCACTTATCGTGTGAATTCGAACCAGGTAGTCTGGATCGATTAATATGGCTCAAATCGACAATAATCAATGACTTCATGACCTGATCACCTGTACTGTCTCGACTGCCATCAGTTTTCTTTAAATCGATCCGCACCTACTCCAGTTAAACTTGTAATTTGAGAAAAGTGGTTGCTTAGATATGTATAATATATGTTCCTAGTCTCCTTAATCGATGAACATATAAAACCTAATAAACCGACTTACTATTTTCCCGTAGTAACACACCCTTAATCTCAACAGTGACTAATCAACTGCTTCACTAAACATATGTAATTCTTTGAATTTATGCAGTCTCTATAGGTTTAATGCTTTTATAACGTATGCCTCACATACACAGAGTAATATGGAGTGACCTGAAGAGCGGTATGCTCATTAATCTGTTAGTAGACGAATATTTCGCCTATGCCATAAGTGATGTGAGTATGGACGATGGAAGTATGTTTGTGAAGATATGTAATTCAATGATTAATACTAAATCACTATGATAAGATAAAAACAGTACAAATTCCAAATGACACTATTTATTGTATAAATAATAAAGTTGAGGAACTAGAAATACATTTTACTTAATCTTACTTATTTAAATTATCAAGATAGAAGAATACTTCTCCGATTGCTTATTAATATACGAAAGAACTTACAACAGTAATCCTCTCAAAAAAGCTGATTAATTTTGTAATTAGATAAAGTCAGTCAGTCAGTCAGTCAGTCAAACATAACGTAGAACCTAGGTATATGTGTACATCGATACAAGTTGTTATAGTATATTAGCATAGTGAGCATATATCAGAGTAGTAAAGTTAGTAACAATATTAATGGTAATCAAAAATATTTGGCATCAAAGATATAATTCGAGAAAAAATATAAATTAGTGAAATAAAATAATGATTATGAATAGTTACAGTGAGATTGAACCGTTCAATTTTCGTGTGAAATTAAAATATGAGTGAACTTTTATTTCTAATTAATTATAAATAAGAATGATACAAAAAATACCTATGTATTGCGCTAAGAACATTGACAATTAATCAGAAAATTCTTTCTTTCTTTCTTTCTTATACAATCATAGAGTAAAATTAACAATGCTAAACACAGCAAGTAATCTTTTTTTTTCTTTTTTCATATGAATTATACGTAACACATAAATCAGTCAGTCAGTTGCAACGCAGAACTTCGTACGTAAGTACATCAGTTCATGTTGCCATACCACATCAGTACAGAGAAGTAATCGTCAATTTAAATACAATAGTAGAAGAGGTAGTAAGGGTATTAGAAGTAATCGGAGAGGTTAGAATTAGAAGATATTATTCACGAAGTATGATTCAATGAGAAAAGTCTAGAAATACAAAACTAGAGGTGTTGAAGAATCCAGAAGATTAGCATTTGAGAGAACACAAACAATAAATGCACCGGCGCCATTGCGAACGATTTTGAGCCATGTCATTCAAGGTCTCTAACCATCGATTATTATCATCTCGCGGACCCCAACCAGGTAGTCGACAATTACCGACATGGATAAGTCCACTCGTCAATGATTTCATGGATTGCTGCCATGTTTTGGTTTGGCCGCCCTTAACTTGCATCCAACCTACTCCTACACTACAAAACAAGGCTCGACGAGGCAGTCGGTGGTTAGGCATACGTAACACATGTCCCAACCACCTCAACTGGTGAAGTTTCACCACTTCATCGATTGATCTGCCATTCTTACCTAGCACCCGATTCCTAATAACAGCGTTGCTCACTCGGTTGTCCCACGATATACGAGCAATGCTTCGAAGACACCTATGATCGAAAACCAGTAACCTACGAATATCTTCTACTCTCACTGGTCATGTTTCACAGCCATAAAGTAAGACGGAGCGAACCACTGCGCAGTACACTCGTCCTTTAGTCAACAAACGGATACCTCGTCTACGCCATAAGTGACGCAGGTTGGCAAAAGCCAATCGACCTGCCTGGCATGGTAGGACCTGCAGGAACATATGTTCCAACCAGTACAGCTCGGTT